GGGTATGACCTGCAGTGCAAGGGAAAGGGGGTGTAGCAGTGGCACACAATATGAACACTGGCAGTGATTAGTAGAAGGACTGGGGTATTGCAGCCTAAAGCCGGGTATACAGACATATATTTTCTTCGACATTCAGCTGCTGTCAGAATACATGAACAGGTTGCAGCTAGTTGGCTGCACACACCATTTGGCCAACAAATTTCCAACCTGCTCCTTCATTCTGCTTATTGAGAATGCCAGTCAGAAGGGTGCTGACGGCGGCAATCACTGTGCAAATTTTTGCCTGTTCCTGATGAACTCATACCGTGCATTGTCCCTGATTTGGAGGGACTGTTCTTCTTTTGGAACAAAGTACCTCTCTGTCTCTAATTCCTCCTCAGTTGTCCTTCTTTTTGTGTGATGTATAGGCCTCAAAAATGTAATATTTAACCATTAAAAGGGTGTAACTGCACTAAACCTTTCATCCAGCTTTTTAACCAATTTAATCTGTTATTTTCCAAAGCCAGTATGAAGGAAAAGTAGTGGTAAAAAAAAGCATTTAGGGGATTTCCCAATTATTATTTTGTTTGTGTGTATCAGTTCTTCACAGTCCTTGTAATGGGGGAGTGTCGGGAGTGTATATTTTGCCTATATGTTTGCTTTTCCTACTAGATGTCCCTTTTTTCCATCTCAGAAAGTTGGGAGGTATTCTACTTTTCCTATTCTGACATTTTCCATTAAAGGCCTAAATCTTGATGTGGAGTAACAGAGGTGGTTCTAGTGCTGACATATAACTCCTGATGCAGTAGGCATACTATTATGTTTTATTACTAGCTATTAGCTGTCAATGCAGTATTGAGACTGGAAAAAATAAAGGATTGTACAGCACAGAATGCAACATTACACCTGCAGATAACTGCAGTCCCTAGTCAAACTGAAGGTTTGTAACTGAAGGGATAAAGGTCCTAATGAAAATGAATGGCGAGACCCCTGACATAGCATTAAAAATAAAAAAATATACTGTATATACATTTTAAAGAACTACGCCCACCTATCCTTTACAGCCAAGGAAGGCGCCATTTTAGCCTTTATTTGGATTGCAGTTGCCGTGGTGCTGCAAATGTGATTAGCTATGACACCAGCCATTTGAGTGCTTGAAAGTTTGGTTGAGAGCTGAAATAAACACACTGGCAACCTTGATCGTTTGCATGACTTAATAGTAACTGTTTTAAGAGTTAAGTTGGTGGGTCAAGTTCTGCTTTAAGGTTAAAGGCTGGCTGATGTAAATCAATTCATCGAAGACAGTACTTTCTTAAGGAGCTGAATTTTGAGAAGTTTAATAAGTTAAAGTAAAAAGGCTCTTTTTTTACATCTAAAATGATACCTTTTATGAGAGAAATATGGAGTCTGCCACTGCTGACCTCTCATTGTAATGAGTTTGCCTCCCTTTCATGCTGGTGCTTTGGCTTCAATACATTCTAAATCACTGAGCCAGAGCGAGTACAATAATAAGGAATTCTAATGTTTGTGTGACTTTAATTTATTGTGTGCTTCCGGGTTCTTGGTTCAGACAATATGAAGCCAGAAAGCCAGGCAACTGGCATTTTCAGAAGAAGGCCAGCATTGTTTTTCTTAGGTTTACTTTAAAGCTTAGTAAACACACACATATAAAAAGAACACTGCCTATCTGAGTTTGCTTGAAAGTGTATAAATAGGCCCTCAAAAGTGCAGTAAAATAAATACAAGTTATGTATTGAAATAATAAGAAAAAAGGATGTTGGGTTTGTCTCAACCTTTACATTCTAACAAACAGTCATAAATGAGTACTTATTTTAACATATACATAGAAATAACGGTTAGCAAGTTTGAAACCGTGTGTATAAGTACTAAAAGGATCTATTTAGAAGCAAAAATTAACTTTCCCAGATATATTTTATTTTCAGGTTGAATGCATGTAATGTAATACTGCATTATGGTCACTAGATGGAGTTGAGGAGCATAGGAAATCTATCTAGTGGCTATAATGCAGAATTGCATTACAAATGTTCGACCTGAAAAAATATATCTAAGAACATTTGTTTTTACGTTTATTCGCAAAGAACGAAAGTTTAGAAACGTCCGTAGGGCAATTGGCTCTGTGAATTGGTTATAATAGAACTCAAAGTGTATTCAAAGACACATCACTTTTATAGTTTTTTTTTATAGAGTAGAAAATGGTTAAGACCCCCTCTCATGGATTGCTTTTCTCCATCTGTGTCCTATGAGAGAGATGTTCCTTCACTCCCTGTCCCAGAAACACAGCAGAAAGTAGGAGAGCGCTCCAAAGCAGGGGAATATCTACTTTTAGACAACTGTCACCAGAACAGGTTTACCTATTAGAAGATTTTCCCTCACCTCAGGATTTTACAACAAATAGAAAAAAAAATGGATTTCATATCAGTTTCTGTCCCGGGGACAATGGTCACCAGAACAAATAGGGAGGGTGAATTTGCAGGAATTAAAACTTGACAGGTATTCTAATTATTTCCCACTCTAGCTAAAACAAAATAAAAGTTTTGGCTTTACATAAACTTTCACTTAGAAAGTTTTAAATGTAATAGTATGCTGAATGGAATAGTGTGAAATAACTCACGATCTGTCTGAGGTTTGGAATGTTTGAAGGTGAAGGAACTACCATAATGGATGTCCAATCTAGAGTATCACACTATCAGGGTTATTCACAAAAGGGTGAAGAGTTTGGAGAAGGCAGGAGAAGTGAATATCTAGGACAACATAGCTGAACTGGAAATATTCTCCAATTCAGTTCAAGTTCCAGCTCCGCTATGTTGTCCTAGATTGTTCACTTCTCCTGCCATCTCCAAACTCTTCACTCTTTTGTGAATAGCCCTGTAAGTCCTAGTATGGACACATCCAAAAATTTATTCTGGAACTAATGTAATAAATAATAAGACAGCCAATGTACCAGGGAAGATTTTCCTTTACTTTATTTGATTTTAAATCTTTGTTTTTTTTATCTCCAACAGGTTTCCGTGAGAGTGCCTTTGCCTTTTCATTGCTGGCAGCAGGTGTCATGCATTCAGTTGCTACAGCTTGTAGTCTGGGAAAGTTGCAGGGATGTGGTTGTGAATGGAAACGCCGGGGAAATGAAGAGAAGATCCGTCTGAAGCTAAACCAGTTGCAACTCCAAGCTTTATCTAAAGTGAGGGGTCTCCCAAGAGACTTGACTCCTCTGCTCCGGGAGACCCCAGAGCCCAGTCCTCAGGACACATGGGAATGGGGTGGCTGCAAGCATGAGCTGGAATTTGGAGAGAAATTCTCCAAAGATTTTCTGGACTCCAGGGAGTCACCAAGGGACATTCAAGCAAGAATGAGGATACATAACAACCGCGTGGGGAGGCAGGTACTGAATGATCATAGAAGTATGAATTAAATAATCATTTAAAGCTGAACCCAGGCAGATATTAACAAAAACAAATTTTCATTCAGTTATGTCTTAAATAATAATTTTAAAGCTGAACTTTTAAAAGCATTTATAAATTATTATGCATACTTACATTGCTCCAGTGTGGTCTATTGTAAGTATGTGCCATACCTGAACGTATGCTGGGGATTCTGTAAAGCACTGTAGTAGCCGGAGCTTATGCAGTACTGACCATGACCTTCCAGGTCCTGTGTGGTGCTGGGCTGAGCAGCTTCCCCTCTGCACTGAAAACACGGGGTTGGCGCTCGCTCAGCACAGTGGCCATTCAGAGAATGCCTAGTATTTTTTATCAATGAATGCGGCGTTCTCTGATTGGATGAGGGAAGGATTGTGACATCACCGTCCCCGTCCAATTAGAGAACACCTTGTATTTATTGATAAAAAGGATTAATTGATGTGTATCGGGCTGATGGGGCATAAAGCAGTGATTTGCATGGCTGTGCCCACTATCTTGAAATGAGAAATAATCCTCTTATTTTTGGGATATGTGATGGAATGAGACATGGGAATACCTTCTGTTCTAAGATGGCTTTACTGTGCTATGCATCAATTTGGTTGGAGGGCTTTTTGATCATGGTACTCCCATCCTACCATCGCCTGTATGGATCTAATGCCTCATTGGGTCCCAAGCCCTACTCCATAGAAGTCATGATTTCCATACACTACACTGATGATAGCCAACAAGCCTATAACGGCTGTTTGCAGTTTACAATATATGGCTCTTTAATATTAGGCTATATGTGCACTAAACACCAAAAGTTCTGGGTGTGCAGTTAGCCATTGGATGTAAAAACAGGAAAATTGTATTGCCATACTTACCGTAATTTTCCTTTCCTGACAGCTCCATGGCAGCACATTTGTGTGCTGCTATGGAGCTGTCAGGAAAGCAGGAAAGAATGGTTTTGCATGGTTCTACACACTCGTGAAATAAGGACTCCACGTCCTGAAATAAGGAATAATCCTCCTGTTTTGGGGATATGTGATGCACTCAGACATGTGAATAACTTTTGTTTTAAGAAGACTTTAGTGTGATATGCACTGATTTTGTTGGAGTGGTTTTTGATTGCTTTGGTCTTTTCACTTGCTTGTATCGCTATAACACTGTGGCTGATGAATTTAACCTAAAAAAAACCCTGTCATCAAACTAAAACATTGCAGAAAATAGAAAAATCAAGTATTTTTAATGCATACTTTTTTCCTTTCTCTAAACACTTCAAATATGCATTTAAACTTGCAAGAAAATTTGACTACTACTGGGAGAGTCAATTCCCTAGGTTCCCCCCACCCTTCCTCCTCCTTGCACATCATAGCCCTCTCCTCTTCTTGCTTTGAGTCTGCTGTGGCTGCTGACATCACATCCAAGATGGCAGTACCCAGCAGACGTCTCACGTCTTTTGGATGTCTACACGGGGGGGGGTTTAAAAGTGTATTTCCACTTTTGCAGTAAAATTTGAGTAAACCCCGCTATATGTTTGTTATGTGTATCTATTCACACAGCATACTGAAACAAATTTTTACGGAAATATTTCTTATCTTTTAGATGTTTCCCGTTTTTTTCTCAGGACGTTCACAGTGATCTATTCTTATAGAAAGATTTGGACTGAAATTTGAGGCTTGTGTTTATCAAATTAACTTCCTTATCATACAGTGGAGAAGTCCCTCTATCCTCTTAGCCCCTCCTAACATTGCAGAATAAAGAGAAAAATAGAAATTGTAACCCTTAGGAAGCCAAGAAAACCTAACCCTTGTAAAAGCAATTTAAACTGCATGCAGCATTTTTTTAATGTTTTTTAGCTTATGTGAATGGTAACCAATATAAAATAGGTGTTATCCCAATTTGGCTGTGAAAGTGGAAATACACTTTAATGCTAAAGGGGTTGCTTTACTAAGATTAAAGGCTGTTCACTTTGTAAGGGCATTTGCTTAGTGAATGTGGTACATTTTATCTTTGCAAAGAATACCCAATCACATACAAGGAAACTAAAAAAAACTAAGCTAAGGGCATCTTCTAATGCAAATTGCAAAGTCACCAGCCTATTTGCCTTTAGTAAATCAACCCAATAATCTTACAGGAAGTTTTTTTTTTAGGTGATTGGTCTGGCAACAGGTTCAGTTTACCCTTTTTAAAGGTAGGAAGTTGAAGACACAACTGTACTTAAGGTTACAATTTTCTTCAGACATTTTGAAAGCTATTTTCACCAGCTGTCTGCTTCTTACCATAACATAACGTCATGTACGTAATACGTATAAAGTGGAGAAAACAGTTAAATCTTAGCGACAAAGTAGATGAAAGTGCACAGAGACCTTTTGGTGATTACTATAGGTAGAAAAAGCTATTGGGTTGGAATTTTCTCCGCTTTTCACTAAATGTATTGTGCCATACGCTAAGGATGACGCTGGTGGGTGTACTTGTGTGATGTATCAGCCCATAAAAAAAGGAATGTCAAAATGACCGCCATGAGAAAATTGGTCATGGCTGGGCTTGTGCAAAAATGTGGACATATAGGGGCTCATTAAACAAGCAGCAGAATGCCCGTCCCACACATGCCACACAAACTCTACACACATGTGCTCTATGCCCTGCTAACTTTGGGTGTCTGAAGCTGGCAAAAGCACAGTTAAAGAAAACATAAACAAAGAAAAAAACAGCAGGAGAGCCTGGTCATGTGACCTGTCAAAATCACATGACTGACCTTTCTCCAATCACTATTAAGCAGAGAAAACTCCCTGGGGCTTCCCCGTTACACAATGTGGCCCGATTTTTGTAGATGATATGAGCTGTGGCATGCGTAGTGGAGCGATATCTGCTCTCAGGTATAAATGAGCCCCCCTTCCTCCTAAATAATTATTCTACATGCTTGCCTATAAAAGATTTCTGTTTACCACTTTATTTGCTTTTACTTAACTGTCTGAGGAGGGCTCCTGGAGCACAGAGTCAGTAATATGTGTGTATCACTCTGGTAGGGGGCTGATGGTCACATGATGTTTAGGTCAGTAGAAGGCAAATTTGTGAAAACAAAAACAGCACTATGTGCAGGGAGCAGAAGATAGAGGGGTTAGGTGCTTTCATTAAATGTTGGAATTGAGCTTTAAGCACATCTGGAGCAGTGGGTGTTATCAAAATGGCAGAGATCATGTGACCACTCATTTCTGACTACCAACTCCAATACTGGCCTAGATAGCAATCTGGTTATTCAATCTTAGTTTCATCTTTATTTTCTGTTTGAATAACCATGGGAGTAATACAGTTGAAAAAACCCCAACTGAGCTCTTTGGAAATTCCTTTTGCTTTCAGTTACATGGGGATTACTTTCCAACTGTTTTTTTTTTTATTTGACTACATTAGTCCTTTAATTTATTTAATCTATTTCACTCTGTAAAATCGATTGCATTTTGCCCCTCAATTCAATTAGTTCATGGTAGATTGCCTTAGTTCTTTTAATCACTCTAAATCGTATTAATGATCAGATCCTGGTTAAAAATGGTTGAAATTGCTTGAAAATGTATACATGTATCAATATATAGATATTTCATAGGTAAGCCTGTTTTTTTATGATAATCTATGACTGACTATTCAGATTCTTGCATGAGTTCCATGGTGACCCATTCTCTCAAAGCCCAGCTCTATGTGTTCTAACCAAAAATGTAGATGTTTGTCATTGAGATGTACCTTGAATCATGTGTAGGCCCATAAATGGTACCTGACATAGGGTGAAATAAGCATTGCACACAATACATTGCGGACCAGTGTGGTTTATAATGCACAGTGACTCCTTGTTACATTCAGGGGTGTTTGTGTAACAACGTACTGTACATTTGTTAATTTCTAATCTTAATGCACAGTGAATTATTACTAACCAGAGTGCTCTATATAGTGGTCCATTGCTAATCACAATACACATGGCTCATTGCTAGTCACAATACACAGTTGATTTTCACTAGACAAGGAGGTACAGTGGTCCATTGCCAGTCCCAATGCAGTGGATTCACTGCCAAATACAATGCACAATGGATTATCGCTAGTCACAATTCACAGTGATCCATTGCCAGTCACAATTTGCAGTGGTTTATTGTTAGCCACATTGAACTGTGATTCATCTCCAATCACAGTGCAAACTAACCCATCACCAGTCATAGTGCACAGTGGTTTATGAGCATTCACAGCGCACAGTTGCCAGTTATCAATGAATCTGCACAGCGGTTCTTCACCAAACACAGTGGCTCACTACCAGTAACAGTAAACAATGGCTCATTGCCATTCACAGAACACAGGGACTCATTCATGGTAACAATGCACGATGGCTCCTTGCCAGTGAAAATATACAGTGGCTTTACTACCAGTAACAATATGTAATGGATCAGCACCAATCACAGTGTATTGTGGTTTAGTAGACACATGCCAGTTACATCACAGAAAAATGTCACATCACATTATATAGTAACACCTCCACAAACGTTGTGTGAATCCCTACCTGAAATTAGTGGTACAGACTGAGATAGTCTGGTTATATTGGGGAGGTGCTGCCACAGATAGACATACAATTGAATAGATTTTCTTTAGCTGCACCCGGCCAGCTATCAATCTGTCACCAGGGGCACTGCTAGGATGGTGAAAGAACTGGGGCACACTTGGGCACCCTGAGGAGGGGAATGATGCAGCGTTCTACGTGGACCGTGATAAATGGTGGGTGTGGTCAATTGGTGATTAAAAGTGGGATGGGCTTAAAGAAGCATGTTTAAATTATAACTAAGCTCCGCACTGCATACACAGCACATATATGACACAGTCCTTGTACCCACATAATAATTTAATTGGTTTAATTACCAAGTCACAAGCAAGACACAAACACCCCTGAATGTAACGCACAAAGGGGTCAGAAGAAAGTAATGGGCAGGGTGCAGAGGTCAGGGGTGTGTATATAATATGCTTCTTTACTATGTCACAAACGAGAGTCACACCGACACATATAAACCTCAGCACAAACATTTTCTTTTATAAAACACTTCCATTACATTTGTTTGCAGAGATCAGGAGTGTGTAACGACAGAGTGCAGGGGTGTATGTAACACATAAGCTACAGGGTTCAGGAGAATGTAATGCACAGAGTGCAGGAATCAGAAGAATGTCACGCACAGAGTGCTGAGGTCAGGAATATGGAGCGCACAGAGTGCGAGGTTAGAAGACTGTAATACGCAGAGTGCACGGGTCAGGGGTGTCTGTCATGCATAGAGTGCAGAGTCCAGGAGTGTGTGTAATGCACAAAATGAAAGGGTTAGGTGTGTGTGTGTGTAATGCACAGGGTGCAGGAGTCAGGGGTGCATAATACATAAAGTGAAGAGCTCAGTGAAGTGCAGGTGTCAATGGTTTGTGTAATGTGGAGAGTGCAGAGGTCAGGGGAATGTAACGCACAGAACACAAGCAAAAATCCCATGCCCAGAACCCTCCCCCATTAGCACAAATCCCCTAAAACAAATATTTCCCAAACACAAAATCCCCCATCACCCATTACAAATGTCTCCCTCCCTAAAACCAAAATCCCTCCTCAAGTACTAAAATTGTCTTTTCTCCAAGCTTGACTTTAGGAACAGTTAACTATATGTTCGGATATACTTTTTTGAGATGCGATTTACTTATGCATGTTATGATCATATGTTAAATTTGAATTTACCAGCTTTTTGTCAGGTTTTCTTTACATCTCATGATGACTAATGTTCATTGAATATTTATGTGAGTTGGGTGTTATAATAGTTACATGTAGTAATGTTTTATTTAGCATTTGATGTTCTCAGATATAAATCAACAAGACCACCAAAACTTTTTTACTCTGACTATTCTGACTTCCACGTGTTCTAAAATGCAAAGTTTTGAATGAGCTATGTCATAATGTTAACTGTTTCTTGTTGTCTCTCTAGGCAGTGACTGAAAACATGAAGCGCAGATGCAAATGCCATGGGACATCTGGAAGCTGCCAGTTCAAAACTTGTTGGCATGTAACCCCTGATTTCCGAGCTGTTAGCACGCTTCTACTGGAAAAGCTACAGCGTGCTGTCTTTGTGAACTCCCGTAATAAGAACAGTGGAGCCTTCCATCCACGTCTCAACAAGAAGAGACTGGCTCGTGAGCTTGTCTACTTTGAGAAATCGCCGGACTTTTGTGAGAAGGATCCTCTTGTAGACTCCCCAGGCACTCAAGGGAGGGTATGCAACAAGACAAGCCACCAAATGGACAGCTGTGCCAGCCTTTGCTGTGGTCGGGGCCATAATATCCTCATGCAGACCCGGCGGGAACGTTGCAACTGCCGCTTTCACTGGTGCTGCTATGTCATGTGTGAGGAGTGCCGGGTCACACAGTGGGTCAATGTGTGCAAGTGAAGAAACTTAAAAATATCTAATTTTGTTTGTTAGCAATTAATTTATTCTTCTTAGCACTGAAAATGTATGTATTTCTGGATTGGATCCACATCTCTCCTAAAATGGCAAATAACTTGCTATATGATTTATACCAATTCCTAAACCAAGAAGACCACCAAAACAATGCCTATATCAAATTCTATGTTACCAACTGGACTCTCTCACTGGACTCTGTAAATGTGTAGAACAAAGAACATGTATCCCTAGATATTTACATAGTGGCTGAAGAGAAGGGATTGTAAACCTTGGAAGGGACACTGTGGCATCTCATGACTTTAATGGAATTACAATACATATTCATATGATGAGTATATTTCCTGTGAAAGGATGGAATTTTCCTTACTGAACTTTCCTTTTCAAAAACATTTGGAACTTGTACATGTGGAAATCATTCTGGCCTTGGTGTACTGGTACTCCGTTTGTGTAACTCCAGGACCCCTGCTTTCTAATACCTACTGACCTAATGACAGATTTAGCCCAGGAGGTCATAAAGAATATAACCAAGAGGCTAATTTATTGGAGTTTGTATACTGAAATAAAAACATATTTTAGATGTATTTCATGGTAGTATTTTCATTTTTCAGGAATTAAGTACAGTAATGCTGTTGACATATTTTACTAAGAAAGTGTATCTATTCCAGCAGTTGCACCAATTCTGCAAGAAATAATGAATCTGTACAATAAAAAGACTGCACCGCTAATGACTAGCAAGAAAGGGTCTACCATATAACATTCAGTATAATGCAATATGTTGTTGTTATTATTATGCTATGGACAACTGCAGGATGAGGTTCTTTAACATCTGCTTGGCAGCATGGCATGCACAAAAGATGTAATTTTATCCCTTATGTACAACCACATGCACAAACATGGTTCAGTTACACAAATCAGAGTCTTGATGTACGAGGAATCACTTTTCAAAGGTATTTTTATGTCACTAAAGCTTTGTTTTTCTTGGCTTCAGGACTACACTCCACCCCTTCTAGTTAAGAACACCTACCTGCCATGCCCCTGTCCAATGATGGCACCCTTACTGGCCACTTAAGCTCTTTTAATTGGGCAGAGGGATGGCAGGACATGGGTAAGATGAGTAATAAAGAAATACTAGCAGCAGAAAAGAGCACAGAAGACGTCTCATAGGTTAATAAAGGTAATACCAGAAAGATTGTGAAGTCTGCTCTTAGGCAGAACCTCTTTTGAACATTTAATAGGCTGACAGGTCAACTTTCAACATGACACATCCAAAATGCAGTCAAGTCTTCATTACTGGAAAATTAAGCTACAGCATGCGTCTGTTCTTTACTCTTCCATCACATCATTATGTTAATTACAGCAGTAAAGATGTTTATTAAAGGAATAACAATAAAACATTTAGGTAGATACTTTACAACTTAACAGTTCAGTCTGTCTGCCGTACAACTACCATGAGCACAAGTTAGGCTAGGTTCACACCTAGGCAATTTATCGTGCGGATTGAGACTGTGAAATATCGCGCAAAACACAGATTCGCATTAAAGTCAATGGAGGCTGTTCACACCTTTGCGGTTTGTTGCGGGGATGAAATCACCTGTCGCGCAAAAAGGTACAGGAACTATTTTCGGGCAGTTGTCGCGCAGTTTGGGTCCCATAGAGAACCGCGCGGTTTTCAAAGAACAGTCCCGCAAATGAAAACGCGCGACAACCGCGCAAAAACTGCTCACCAGCTCAGTCGCCTAGGTCTGAACCTAGCCTAAGTAAGCAAACTATCTGGAAGAATACTATTAAAGGAAATATGTCAGTGTTTTGTACATATTGACTTTGTTTTATTATGGTCAGGACTAAAAAGTCGGGTAAATAAATACAGATTACAGATATTAAACATCAGGTTGAAAGCTTATAAAGCCAGAAATAAAATTACCAAAAACCATTATAGTTTTCTGCTAAGCAAAAAACAATACTGCTGTTGAATCCATTAAAGAGATGCAAAGAATCACACTTTGCTTTCTGTTTATCTGCAAATAATCAGTGATTTTCAGTCTTTGGTAGACTATGTCAATGGACTTTGGGATTTTGTTGACGGGTTAATGCATAATGCTATTGATATCAGATTGAGGCTCTTCTGAGATCATGGAGAATTCACTGCAGGTATTTGACCCTAGTTGACCTCTTTCTGACCTGCATTTGATCTGCTTTAAGTTGTTTTTTTTAATTCTAGAAACTTGTATAAATTAGAGAAGTATTTCTGATATGGACAAAAACCCATTGACCCAGCCCCTTATAACATTAGTGTCCATATACCAACAGTAAGTAGTATATACGTAATACAGTGAGTAGCATAGTAGTAACTCACAAAATCTCACTCCAAATCTCCTGAGACTAGCAGTAAGAGTCAGTAGTGCCTTTGATCTCACACTGCAGATATACAACTATGAGGCTGTAGGCACAGGAATGCAGAACAGATTTTGCAGGTTCCTGGTTAGGCACGATTTACGTTTCTAGATGTTGCCTAAAACATAGCAAATCTTCCCTTTTTAGTTTGTTTTGCTGCATTTTAGTCCCCCAAATATGAAATGGATCTGAACCACAACTGGGTTCACACAAGATGTCTGCTGCTGTTCCTAATTATGTCGTTTTCGGTGCACCGGAGAGAAATCACAAACTCAGGATTAAGGTTTATGACGCATCTACTTTATTCAGGGCGGTCTCTCTCCTTTATACACAGATAACAGGAGAGTGCTCGTCACACATATGCCCACCTCTGTTACCTCTAAATGTCTTGTACTATTGGGCAAACTAGAGGGGCTGTTAGTTAAAGTCTTGTGTCTCTCGCTAATTGGTTAGTCAAAGATATCTTCTGCCTGTAGTGTCCTCCCTCGGCATTCCTTTCATGTGTCCTCGGCGCGCTCCCGAATACAGGATCCATCTTGGTTACGCATAGCAACGCTAAAAGCTGAGTAAGGAAAGTCACAAAGCTAGGAAGTAAATTAAACTAATTCAAAACAATTGAAAACATAGAAAAGGACATTTTAATGTCTGAAAGAAAAGTCATCTGGCAGGTCTGTTGCTTTAAGTACACTTCTGGCTGAACCCGTGTCAATAAGGAAGGTGGTGGGTGTCCACTGTACAGGTAGGACGATTTTCCCTAAGGGCCCTCCCTCCCCTGAAGACACTGCCATGAAAGATGGAGGAGCCACGGATGACGGGGCGTTCGACGAAGGGTGCGGTTTGGAATAGTTGTCTGTCCAGTCGCCGCCATTATAGGGCGGTGGCTCAAACACATCATCAGCTCTGTGATATACATACATAATTTCATCATTTCGTTTAACTGTTTCTTCTACCCATTCTTTGTGGAGAGCTTTAGCTGTACGAAACCAGGCTTCAGCTATTTTCATCAAACCCTTATCATTTAACTTCCCACGATGTTCCCTTATCAAGGTATGCCAGAACTCTGGTTGAAGACAGACAATCTCATGTTTCAGTCCACATACTTTTGGCAACCTCTGTAATTTTTCTCCCTCCTCCCCTCGGCTTGCTCTATTTCAAAGAGGATTTTTTTCCGAAACTCCCTCTCACTGGGAACATTAACCCTTATCACCAAGATGTCGGGAATCGCTGGGACAACAGGCTGATGGCCAAGTTTACGTGGGGGGGAATACCCCCCTTCTACTACTTTCACTAATCCCCAATTTGTTTCATCCACAGTGAACATTAACCCACAAACACATTTAGGACATGACATTACACCGTGGAACTGAGCCACTGGCTGACCGGCTAAGCTAGCCTCGGGGGG